CGATCCAGAAGCCAAAAGAACAGGGGAGAAAACAGCGCCCACATGCGCACCCCCGTAAAAGCAAACAGACAGAACAGTTATAAGTCAAACTTCTCCCTGTTCTGGAGGAAATTCTGTTGTATAGTAATTTAAATAAGTCAAATTCGAGATAGTAAAAGAATATATATATATATTTTCTGTTTGAATTGTTCATGTACAACTCCTTACGAGATTTTGAAACTTAAGCAAAATGCATTCTTTACTGTTGCTAATGAAATATACTTTTTGTTTTATTATTGCATACACAGAGATAGACTTTTTATATTCTTTGATACCCGTTCTTGTTATATAGTTTTTTGTATTGAAGAAATCGTTAAAATCTTAATTAAAGAGTTTTGAAAAGATTATCTAGAAATAATTATTGTTAATTACTGTTACTGTTATGAATTTAAAATTATAATTGAGATAATTAAGATTCTCAGAAATTATATGTTGAGTTTTAAGTGTAAAATTAATTATATTTAAGTCATTATGAGATGTCTGTTAAGAAAAAGATATTTGTACTTTTGTTGATAGTAGTAGAGATAGTGTCACATATGATTTTAATCTTTTGCTTTAATTTCATCAGAGTGTGTGTGCTTCGACTCAACCCTCTGATTGATAGCAAGAAAAGGATTGTCATTATAGACAAGGATGTGTATGCTGTTACGGTAAAGTCCTTAGCAATATTAAACAGAAAGGAATGGATTTATGCTTCGACATTTCTGCAGTTGTACACTAAGTTCTTTTTGCTTTTGTTTTCCGTTAGTGAGGAATGAGAATAGCCCGCTGACAATAAACGTAAGACTCTATCGATAGTCATTGCTAACGTTTGTTCACTTTCATTTGTTTATTTATTATTCTTTTATTATGTAGAGATACTCCGCGACAATTTATTTTTTATTTTCAGTACATGTAAAGGAAAGAAGCCCGTCTCGCCTGACCACAGGGTGGAGACCGCGACGTATTTCAAGGTCGCCCTGTCCCTCTCTCCCTCTCTCCCTCTCTTTCTCTCTCTCTCTCTCTACTCTGAGACTGACAGATCCTCCTTTCGATACTACAAGAATGTTGCCGTCATTGATTCTTGTTTTGTGTTTTTTTCCAGCAAAGCTAGGCGATAATTGTGCCTACATTTTATTGCAGTCGATAGATTGTTGCATGCTGTTATTGCATAAATACTGATAAGACATCGGTAGTACCGCCATTTGCATAAATATTTTTGCCACATGTCGCAACTGTTTAGAGAATAGACAGAACTCCCATTGACAAATTGTGGAGCCAGCAAGTTGCCACTTATGCTCTATATATATACATAGATTATGACAGCAGGAATTTAAATAGTAAAGGAGACTGTGTTAGAATGAGCATTACTATGAAATATAAGTACAGAACTCTGTTCTTACTTCTGAATGCCAGTCTCCATTATATATATATTGATATTTCTGATTTAGTATATTTATTTTTATCTTTTATTATTCTTATTTTGATCATGATTATTAGTAATGTTCTTATTATGTTGACTGATACTGTTGCTATCTCTCAATGGCCTGTTGCTAACTATTATTTTTGAAATGAAATCAGCAGTAACCTGATGATTTGTATTTTTCATTTGAATTTATGTTTGATATTATTGTAGCCACTGCTAATAAGAATATTTCTTTAGTGGTTTTTCCCAGTATTTAATGATTGTTCTTTTTGATGTCTATAGTAGAGTAATGCTATGTAGCAGTTTCTCAGCTAAGCCCTAAGAATCTTGGAGTAATAATTTAGTTGTGTAGACACATACCTTCCATTACCACCCTATTTCTAGGCAGCCCCGACCTGCAAGTTCTAAAAGTCTTTAGTTTTGTCCTCTCAAACAAGTCCCTGTTGCCCATTGAATAGAGATTGCAATCACTTGCAGTTGCAGGGGAGGCAAAGTATAGCCTCCGAGTACCAACGTATGGCCATTGTTGGTACCCAGAAGTCATAGGGAACCTTTCTTACAACTGTAGTAGTGACATAGGTTCAAATTTTCATCCCGAGGTCTGCTTCGAAGGTACGTGTGGATTGCCGTACGGAAGAGAAATCGCTGTGACGTTGCAGGTCTCCTACGTGGTGGTCTTAGTCAAGATCGGCCGAGGGTGGGACGAGAAAGCCAGGCTGGAAGGATTAGAAAGGTGCATCGATCGCTTCCTCTTTGTCTTGCCTATCTTGGAAATGGAGATAATTTATGGTAGAGTACGAACCTGGGACTACAGCAAGGACGGCGGGGGAGTGAAAAAATGAAATCCCAGAGAGAAACCGTGGAATCGCGCCTAGCAAGAATTCATGAGCAAGGGACAGAGAAAACAAAAGTCTTTAACGTCCGAAAAACACTCTAAAAAGCCATGTAAACAAATTGATGAAATCCCAGAGAGAAAGAAGGGTATTTAAAAATCCCTTATTAGTTGTTGGAAAGAACAACCCACGCTTTAGAACTGAAAAAAATGGGAAAGAAAAGGTCCCCTTTTATTACTTGTTTTACCCAGTTTTAAGATAATTTTAAGCGACAACTCAGAGACTCCTTTAAAGATAGTTTTTGAATAAGTGCCTTTGATGAATTGTATGATTTGCACCGACAGTAATAAGTTGTCTTCTGCTTAAATAATATTAGTGTTTTGCTTTAGCATTATCATTGTTTGAATCATGATTTAATCTTTGTGTTCATTAAGTTCTCATATCAGTTTGTCTCTGAATAGGAATTGCACATTGGAATGATGAATGTTTTCTGACTTTTCACATCGTAACCAATATTGTGTTTCAGGAGTAGTTTTATAAGGCCTAATTTTAAGACAAATCAATGCCCCATAGTAACGATAGGAAGTTTCCATTTATGTTATTGTCTATCGCATTTTAAATGTTCTACATGATTTATCTTTTTACTGTAGCTAACCAACTTTTGTAAATCTTTTGAAAAAAGGAGAGAAGTAGACAGAGTAACGTCATGATCTAAACTAACTTGTGATCTTAATTAGTATTTAATAATGAGTAGTTACACACTGAAATCCTAATGATTAAAGTTAATTGTATTTGTTGAATATAGGGATGTTTGTACTAAAGATTGTTTAGTGTTCATAGAACCAAGAATTCTTAGACGATAGCTTAAATAATTCGGCCCCATTTTTATTGTAAACTAGTGTTAGCTAGGATATATCCAAGAGCTCTCAAAAGATATCCCATGCTTCGACTGAAATAAGAGATATTTCAGTTTGGGTTGGGAGGGATGTCGTATGACTTCCGGTACGCTGAAGCCAGAATCTGAAACTTGTAACGGTTGGTCGAGGGCACAGATGTTTTATTACATGCCCTCACTTTTATTGAGTTTTGGGTGCAGACCATGCTTTCCTTTGGGACCACCGCAATTTATGGCTAGGCACCTGGAACAAATGTGGGAGGCTTGTTTTCTGCATGTACGGCCCATGTTTGTAGAAAGTGTCAAGGAGATATATGACCGGAACCATGAGACTTAGCATCTGGCATCGAGTACCCGGTGAGGATGAAAGGCCAGGAAGTTAGCCATTTCCTAAACAACAAGAAACACAAACATGTGGCCCATACATATGTACATGCCCTGGAGAGTTACCCAATAGCCATGCTCTGACCTGGAACTTTTCCGTTCTATAGGTTTGTTGAAACAGCCCCGCCCCGAAATAGGGAGGGACTCCACTTCGAACCTGGCGTTGATTTGCAGGACTAGATGTCACTCGAGTTCATTGGCAGGATTGGATGTCAAGCCACGCCCTGCCCCGGGGGTATTTCAAGAACCACCCAGGGCAGACACAGTTAGTTAGAACTTTGCCCGGGGCATGAATAGATCATAGATTGTGATAGTCATAGGGTGGGGGCATTGAGGCGTCGAATGTGTTGTACTCTAGAATAAATTAAGATAAAGGAATCACTGCTTGTCCATTCTTACCTTGTACCCGTCTGGTACTAATAATTATAAATAGTAATTAACCTTACGTCAGTGGTGACGAGCGGTGAGATAACCCAGTCATCTTACAAATTGGTGAATTCAAATGGAAGTCCAAAATTCATACGACAATCAATTATATTTTCATTGGTAGAGGATTTAATTTCGAGATTGTTTATAGGCCTCTACCGAAGCCGTGTCAGGATTTCCGAATTTACTAGGTTATGAGATCGAAGGCTAATAAAATATAGGAAGCCCTCCACAATTATTATTATTATTATTATTATTATTATTATTATTATTATTATTATTATTATTATTATTATTATTATTATTATTATTATTATTATTATTATTATTATCATTAAGGGCAACATTGGGAAATACTGCTTACCCTAATGCTTTTTTTCTCCTGCTGAGCCCGTACAATTGGTTTAGATGCAAAAACCAATTCTTCTTTCACCGAAATCTTCTCCATCGCACTTGACCTAACAGATAAAACGAGTTAATAAATTAAATTATAGTCAGAGCGCTTCGTTTTCAGTGTTGCCCTCTTATCTCTCAATACTGGACACCTCATGCTCACCATGTCTCTCTCTCTCTCTCTCTCTCTCTCTCTCTCTCTCTCTCTCTCTCTCATATATATATATATATATATATATATATATATATATATATATATATATATATATATATATATATATATATATATATATATATATATATATAGATAGATAGATAGATAGATAGATAGATAGATAGATAGATATGTGTGTGTATCAAAAAAATCGTTAATGAATTGGGGTGACATATATTTAACTTTTAAAAGGTGATTCTTCTCTCTCTCTCAATCGATATATATATATATATATATATATATATATATATATATATATATATATATATATATATATATATATATATATATATATATATATATATATATATATATATATATGAATCATTAATATGAACATAGTGGCATTCAGATAGAATGCGTTCATTCCTAAGTATAGCAGATATAAGCTATAAGGTCTGATTCCTTTCAACCTTTTGTGGTGTAGTTGGTAGCGCCTTGATTTAGTAATTAAAAGTCCTAGGTTCAAGTCCCGGTCGGGGTAAAAAAATGATTCATGTTTTCACATATGTAATGTGCATATATATATATATATATATATATATATATATATATATATATATATATATATATATATATATATATATATATATATATATATATTTATATATATATATATATATATATATATATATATATATATATATATATATATATATATATATATATATATATATATATATATATATATATATATATATATATATATATATATATATATATATATATATATATATATATATATATATATATATATATATATATAATATAATATATGAATTATTTTTACCTCGACTGGGACTTGATCCTAGGACATACAATTACTATGCCAAGGCCCTACCAACTATACCACAGAAGGTGTTAAAAGGGAAACACACCTTAATGCTGTTATCTGCTATACTAGGGATGAACGCATTCTATCTAAATGCCACTCTGTTCATATCACAGTTTCCCCAAACCTCACTCTTGGGTTCGTTTTTGAGCTTAATTCAACTCCCAATTTCATTCGGGACCAACAATAATCAAATAAGCACATTACCATATGTGAAAACATGAATAATTTTTACCCCGACCGGGACTTGAACCTAGGACATATAATTACTATGCAGAGGCACTACCGAGTTCACCACAGAAGGTCTTAAAAGGAAAACATACCTTATAGTTTTTATCTGCTATACTATGGATGAACGCATTCTATCTGAATGCCACTCTGTTCATATTACAGTTTCCCCCAACCTAACTCATGGCATAGTTTTAGCATTTAATTCAACTCCCAATTTCATTTGGGACCAACAATAATCAAATAGGCACATTACCATATGTGAAAACATGAATAATTTTTACCCCGACCAGGACTTGAACCTAGGACATATAATTACTATGTCAAAGTGCTACCAACTATACCACAGAAAGTCTTAAAAGGGAAACACACCTTACAGCTTTTATCTGCTATACTAGGGATGAACGCATTCTATCTGAATGCCACAAATGATTCATGTTTTCACATATGGTAATGTGCTTATTTGATTATTGTTGGTCCCGAATGAGATTGGGAGTTGAATTAAACGTGAAAACGAAGCCACGAGTGAGGCTGGGGGAAACTGTAACATGAAGAGAGTGGTATTCAGATAGAATGCGTTCATCCCTAGTATAGCAGATAAAAGCTGTAAGGAGTGTATCCCTTTTAAGACTTTCTGTGGTGTAGTTGGTAGCATCTCTGCATAGTAATTATATGTTCTAGGTTCAAGTCTCGGTCGGGGTAAAAATGATTCATGTTTTCACATATGGCAATGTGCATATATATATATATATATATATATATATATATATATATATATATATATATATATATATATATATATATATATATATATATATATATATATATATATATATATATATATATATATTTCTTGGGAGTAAGAGAGCTACAGCTGTCGGGCTCACTATAGAACACTCTTGCCCCCCTACCTTGTGGATGACCCAAGAAGGGTGGTAGGGGAAAATTGTGGCAACCCTTTAAACCCAAGAAGCAAAGAGGACTTGTTTAAGTATGTGTTTATGGGAAAGAGCCCCAAGTTCATAGCATATACAAGGAACAAAAGTGGCTCTAGAACTGAACCCTGTGGAATTCCTCTACTAACTCTTCTCCATTCAGACACTGAGTGTCTTACTCTAACTCTCTGTTCCCTTCCTGATAATTATGTTTTCATCCATTCCAAGACATTCCCACCTATTCTTGCCATTGCATGCAGTTTCTTAATACGTCTCCCGTTTGGGACAATATCAAATGTTTTCTGGAAGTCTAGAAATATGCAATCAGCCCAGCCCTCTCTTTCCTGTAAGATTCTGCTTACCTCATCATAGAATTCTATTAAGTTTGTTACTGTTGATCTTCCTTCTTTAAAGCCATATCGTCTCACTGACAAAAAGTTGAAGGATTCCATGTGAAGAGAGATATGTTTCCTTAGTACTTTCTCCATAACTTTGCAAACTATGCTGGTCAATAAACAGATCTATACTTTAGTGCCATATCCCTCCTTCCCATTTTGAAGATAGGTATTAAATTCACTTGTTTCTAGCATCTTGGAATCTCCCCTGACTCCAGCGTATTTTTAAATATGATACTTATTGCTGCTTATATTGAATTAGCGCATTTCTTAAGCACATAAGGGGATATATTATCAGGACCTGTAGCTTTATGGATATCTAACTCCATCAATGCTTTGCATACCTCTGTAGCTGAAAGGATGATATTCTCTAATATCGGCCCTTGAACTTCTATCTCTGCAATCTGAGGGAGTGGGGTATTTTCTACTGTAAATGCTGATTGAGACTCCTTGTTCAATTCTTTGCAGATCTCTTCATCCGTCTCAGTGATGCTTCCATCCGCTCTCTTAAGCATTAAAGCCTGTTCTTTTACCTTTAGTTTTCCTCTGATAAAGCTGTGGAAAAGCTTGGGATTTTCTTTAGCCTCCCTGGCGATATCCCTTTCATAGTCTCTCTCTGCCTCTTTTCTTTTATGTTTTTTCTCCTCTTATTCCTTTTCCAGCATTTGTCTCTCCACTCTTTAGCTCTCTTAAACTCATCATTGAACCATTTCTCACTTGAATGAATAACTCTCTATTGGTGACAGGTATGCAGCAATCTACTATCTTTCCATATTCGTCACAAAAGATGTCGTACATTTCTTCTACAGATTTGCTGTTAAATAAGGTTCTCCAGTCAATAACTGCAATAAGCTCATTCGTTTTGATGTAATCTCCTTTCAGATAGTTCCTCCTCATGTCCTCAGTGCCTCTACTCTCAGGCAGAATATCTTTGATGATATACTCCATCAACAACACACAGTGGTCACTCTTTCCAATTGGTGGTTCATACTCAATTTTTTCAATATCCACCACATTATCTGTGAATACCAGATCAAGCAGCGATGGAGCCTCCTGGCTAGTACAGTGGTAATGCGCTGGCCTCGCATTCGCGAGGTCGACAGATTGCGCCTTGTCAAGGCAAGAGAGTTTAAGCAGTTTACTGGGGAGGTTACTACTGTGGCTGGGCACCACAGTGGGGGGTTGGGGCCTGTGCCAGTTGGCGGCTGCCTTACGGGCCCTCCATGACCCGTTCCACTCATCCTTGAGTGGAGAATCTAAAACAACAAGCAGCGATGGTTAATCCTCACCCCTGGCCATCGTTGATTCCAGTACATCTTTGTGTAGGAAATTCCCTTGTACACAACCTAGGAATCTTACCCCGAATGAGTCCTCACCATTGTGTGGGTCAAGATTTATCTAATCTATCTCTCTATGATTAAAATCTCCCATAATTAAAATCTTACATTTTCTCTCACGTGCAATTCTAACAACTGAGATTATTACTTCAATAGTACATGCATAACTTTCCTTATAAGCTTCTAGCTTAAACTGGTTCTTTGGTGGGTTATATAAAAACAGTTATTATAATGCTCTCTGACCCAATATTATGCTGGCAACAAGAAATTCCTTGAATTAACTTTCTATAGCAAAGTTTATTTCTTCAACCTGAAACCTTTCACTTATGGGCAGTGCTATCCCTCCACCAGTCCTCTCAGATCTTTCAACCCTTAATATTCTGAAGACCTTTGGAAAAACTGTGACACTGTTTATATCCTCACCTAACTTAGTCTCTTTAACTGCTACTATATCTGCCTGATGTTGTGAATCCTATATTTTAATTCTACTGCCTTACCAGCTATTCCATCAGCATTTGTGTACAGCAATTTTAATGAGGCCCCATCCCCTGATCTTCTATCATTATCTTCTCTATCTCCCCTTTGTCTGGAAGAATATGAAACAAACATTTTTCTTCTCTTCTTCATTTCTCTCCTCATTTAACCTTCTAGCCTCTTGCAACAAGTGTCCATCTCTCCCTGTGTTTTGTGGTCTATTTTTTTTATTATTATTAATATAACACCAGGACAGGCCAAAAATAAAATTAAATAAATTTACCCTCATCGAGCCTGGGCATGAGGAAACTAAAAAGAGAAACGGAGGTGGGTAGTATTGTGACTTGTTAGATGTGAAGGGATAATAAGACATGTGTAACAAATATCCAAGAATATTCGGTGTTGATGTAGGCATAGAAAGCGAACCGTAAATGAAGGAAGACTTAACATCAAACTGTCCCGGACAGTCTTATTTAAGTCTACAAGACCATTCAGCTGTAGTATTGCAATGGGCAATTGATGCCATGGGCCAACCTACTACATGATGAACACTGTTTTGAATTCTTGAAGGCCTTTTAACCTTTTTTCCTCATCAATGTTTCTCTACATGTGTCCCCTCTCTCAAAGGTTACATTTATTGGTCTTTGCTTTCCCTCCCTAGAATATTTACCTAGTAGGTGAATGCTTACAAATCAGCAGGACCACATGCTTCTCCAAGCTTCCTTATTACGTCTAAAATCCTACCTTTATTTTCTTTGTCTCCCCTGCCATGTTGGCTCCTAGGATTTGCTTATGCCTGAGATTGCCACTGTCTTCTCTTTGTCAAGTGCCTGTTTAATCAGTGTATTAGCCCTTATCATCACATTTATTTTTTCTATTACTATTTCTTTATAGTCAAACGTTTGTATGTTTTCCAGTACCACCATCTTCACAGCCTCTTTTTCTGCCACATTACCCTCCAGTGCATCTGCAAATTAAGTTTTCATGGCATCGTGTTGTGTGTTCACCTCCTGAAACTCTTTTCTAAGCTGTTCAATATTTTCCTTTTTTTCTGGACATTCCAAGATACAATCTTGTCTCTTAGAAGAGACCAATGAACTATCATTTAATTAATTCAGATTATCATTCAGCTGTTTGTTGCTATCTTCTTGTTTATAAATTCTGGTTTCTAGCTCATTGTTTTCCCCTTTTAGCTTCCTTATTAATTTTTCTAGTTCTTTTCTCTCTTGCCCTTGTGCTTTCCTTGCTTCCTCCAAAAAACTTATTTCTTTTCTTAGTGTTTC